GCCCTCTGCTCCTATTGGGGTCATATGATAACCTGTTCGGGTACAATTCATCTTTCGGGGGCTCTCTGCACCGGGTTTGGGTAATTCTTAGTTGAATGGAGGCCTTTGCGCTCCTATTGGAGCCCCTTCTGATAAGATGCTCAGGCCCATTCGATCGTGACGACCTCTATATGTGGTTTTGGGTACTTCCATTCTGAATGGAGGGCCCTCCGCGCTTTTGGGGGGCATTATCTGTTAACCTGCTCTGGCGCACTCGATTATTCGGGGCTCTCCACATCATGTCGTGGGTATTTCATATTTGAAGGGAAGGCCGCACGCTCTTGCCGGGGCCCCATCTGTTAACCTGCTCGAGCACACTCGAATATCCGGGGGCCCTCCACATAGTGTCTTGGGCACTTCTTATCTTAATGGAGCAACCTAAGTACTTGTCGGAGACCCCATCTGTTCGCCGTTCTGGTCACACTGCATTGTCCCGGGGCATTGCACATTGGGTCTTGGTATTTGAATTTAGGGCCTTACACTCCTGTCTGGGCCACTTGATAATCTGCTCGGGAATCCTCCATCTTTCGGGGACCTCCGGGAGTGTTGCTTGGGGGAAATTCTGGAGATCATTGCGCTGTCTAGAGTCATTGCGATGTTGGTTTCCTGGCCCTATGTGTCCACTTGCCGGGTCGTTCTGGTGGTTAAGGAGCCTTCCACGTTGCCTTTGATCTCTTTGCATTTTTTCGTGGGCCCCAATGCGCTGTTGGGACGCTATCTGCCTCCATGCCTGAGCACTGTTGATCGATCACGTTTTCCTCCGCGGATTCTCCCCATTCGCCCGAAAGGCTCTTTACACTTTTTCCAGGCACCAGATGCCAGGGTGCACTCAGTTGCTCAGGGGACCCTCATTTAAGTCTTAGGCTCTTCCTACTCGCTTGGAGGGCCTTATGCTGTTGCAAAGCCTTTAGAAGGTAAGGCACGGAGACACTCGATGCTCACGGGCCACCTCCTTTGATCGAGGACTGTCTCCCTTGGGTCTCATTTGCGGAAGACTCTTCACTCTTATCGAGGCTTGTGTTGTTAACCCGCCCGCGCACTCTTGATCGCATAAGGGGTATTAATTCATGGTCTTGGATGATTCCCCTTCGCTCGGAGAGTTTTGTGCTCTGGCCTGGGCTTCATACGTTAGCCTGCCGAGACACTACTGGTCGTCCATGGGCCCACCACGTTGGTCTTTGGTTATTTTTGCTTGCTCTGCAGACCCTAAACTTGTTGACGGGAGTCACTTTGTTGGCCTCCTGCGGCACCAACGATCGCTCAGGCTGCGTCCCTATTGGCCTTGGTGCATTCGCCTCAGAGCAGCGGTCCAATACGCACCGATGAATTTTTACGCGCAATTGCAGAACGTAATTTTACATGCCGTCGACGTCATATGTGTCATTTTCATTAGCTATTGAATGTGTGACACTTATTATACCGGTGCATCACGTTCTTAACATATTTCGAATGCTGGTATATGTTGTACTCCTTTATGACAGAGGAACGAATCCGCACTAGCCATCAGCCATCAACTGATTACATGGCCTGATCAACTGATTACATCAACTGATTACATGGCCCAGCCCGCTAGCACCAAAGACCTAAGCTGGGAATCAAGTCCACGCCTGGTTTTGGTGGTTGTTAGCAGCTAACTCAAGGCTATTTTGCCTGCTGTTCCGAAACACTTGGCCTCAAAATCACAGCATTCAACATGATCTGTGGAAAGTGGGTGAGTTCTATGTCCATGTATGCGTAGCACGCTTAGCTTTATAAGGCCGTGCACAGTAAGATGGGTTTTTGTATTCATGAAATAAATAAATACGTAAATACATACATGCATATATACGTACCCATATATATATATATATATATATATATATATATATATTAGATGCGTCTTGTCTTAAAATGTGATGACCGAAATGCAAGGATATCTTTTGGAGGAGGGCCCCAAACTCCAGGGGGCTCCACAATGTTGTGTGCCCCCTCCCTGACGAAATCCTGAATCTGCCCCTGTCAGGCTGCACTGTCGGCAAGAGTGAACCTTTGAAAACAACGCAAAGATCGATCCGACCGTTTATTCACCATCGAGGTTATGCATTTAACGTTGACATTGGGCTGTATATAAACAAATAGCAGCTTTTGATCACGCGTCCAATGCCCATAATTGAGGCTAAGTCCTTCCACTTCGTTTTTAGATGGCTCAAATATGATGAAAATAAATTGACGTAAATGAACATTCAGGCCAAGGCTTCAGCCCTCATTTGCACTGCACTTGACCTTGGTGCTAGGCCAAGTGCGGGGCGAGTGCCATTGCATACCCTCCTATGTAGCATATTAAGCTGGGTGCAATGATTTTACATCATGAGATGCGCTTTTAAATAAAATGCGTTGTGGGAGGGGTCAGGTGCTCCAAGGTAACATTTCTATAATTTGACCTTCGCCTGTAACCTTCAAGCGCACTTAACATTTGCGCTATACTTACGCTTTCTTTCTTTCACTTCTTTTCACTTCGCACTGTACTTAACTTTACTCTATACCTTCGCTCACACTTAAATTTACATTACTTGTGTGGTCCAATACATCACTCCACAACGCCATCGAATGCAATTTGATTTTTTGAATCTGCTCACCCGTTCTTGAGATAAGCTGGGGGTTAAATCTGCCCCTCCGGCCAATAGTGTGCCACTGAGAAACCCGGCCCATGCCAGGTCAACTGCATGACAATTTTTCATGTAGCTTTGCCGCATGGGAATACTTATGAGCTCGGAAAAAGATGTAGCAATAGTTAAATTAAAGCGGTGAGGTGAAGCCTATATTACACATGATGTGCGGATCCGTAAATGTGACTGCATCGGTCCGCCATGCGCCATCGGCGGATTCCTCCGCCATGGTCGGTCTGCCATGCGCCATCGGCGGATCCCTCGAGTGCTACCCGCGCCGGCCATACATCGCCGTGCAGTGGTTCTGAAATGCCTTCTCTTTTCGAAAACTAAACCCTAAAGGCGTGTGCTTTGTGTCACCAGTGGGCGCGCAATAAAGCCGCATAGATTGGTCAAAATTTGGGATCAATTTCACAACAAGCCAAAAAATCCTCAAAATACCTCAGGGGAAGGGCACCGAGCCCCCCCCCCCCCCTCTATAAGGGCGAGGGTGAATGAAGCGATCATATTTGGAAAAAATGTGGGATAGGCTTAAAATGCATGCATAACAGATGTGATGGAAGCATAGACTATAATAACAACCAGGATAGGGCTTGTGCTTGAGTCTGCGTATGTGGAAGTGATTCCAAATGATACTCAAGTCACATTAAGATAAATATGAGTTCGATGCCAAGCGCTTTGAAAATCCGAACTGAGCCCGAACCTAAGGTAAAAGACATACATATTTGAATGTTTGCAATGACAAGGCATTGTACACCATGCCCAATTCGGTTTTTACAAGCGGTTTGACAGCCTCAAACCTTTTGCAAAAGGAATTTTGGTTTTGCTGGGTACAATCGGCCGGTGATAATCGTTACTGATCCCAAACTGAGATTGAATGCCCTTCAGCCCCTGACAGCTCCTGACCAGAACATCCGACCTTTGCATGTTGAAGGTGATCCTCAGCTACAGCTTCAGCAACACAGGCAAAGGAGGGCACGCTATTTGTCATGAGTTTGTGGCGCCGTGCGTGCCAATCTGTCGCGGAAGTCAGTCTGAAAATAATGCAGATGAAGCCTACGGCCCGGGATACCTGCTACACTTGTACCAGTTTTTTTTTCACAAGGCACTGGAGAGAGCGAGAGAGAGACTTCGATGCGTGATCGTTTTCGCCGCCTGTTGACCGCCAGAGTGTTAGTTGCGAAGCCAACAGCGCCCAGCTAATGGAGACTGCAACGCCATACGTCAGTTTTTTCCCCAGGCGCGTGGGCATATGTGCTTTAAAGTATACTATGCCTGTTTTTCGCTGGTGGATTTCGAGGAAAGGATGAACTTCCTCAGGTGAACAAGGGCGAGCTGAACCAATGCATATTGGTGACTCTGGTTCGATCTACGCTGTTGCTCGATACAAGAACCCCTCAGTATCCTCCCAAACTTTCGATAATACCCGGTGACGCCTCGGACTACCATTCTGTTATAGAAAGGTACGACTGAGCCGTGTAAGGTGCTGAGATTCTGCGGTGTATTTGATAGCATCATTTTGTACCTGCTTAATCTGAGTTAATTCACTTCTAAGTTTATGCTAAATTGTATGTTCGGGTGGCTTTTCGCTTCTTTTTCAGTCAATGTTAAAAACTAAAAGAAGAAAATTGACCTTTGAAATAAAGTGGGCCAAGTCGGGTGCATCATTCCGGCTGAAGATAGTTTGCCGATTACAAAACAAGAATATTTAGGACGTATCTAGGCCGTGTTCAAGTGGCCTAAATGCAGGGACTTTTTTCGTGAGGGGATAAACCAGGCTCAAGAAGACGCCACAGTAATGCACGGTTCTACCATTGACGAAATCCCGGATCTACCCCGATTAGGAGACACCCTCTTATTCATCAGAATGCCCCTATTCTTGACCAGAATGCCCCTATTCCATTCTATCCCACGCACCAGAAGGCCGCTGGCCCGGATCAAGATGGCTTTCTGGGATAATGAGGCGCTCCTGAATCTGGGGGCCCTGTTTGCAAACCTGAACGGTCTTATTCTGAATAGGGAGACGCCTGCATACATCAGAAGGCCCTTGTATGAAACAAGAGATACTGTTTTCGAATGGAGAGACCCCGTGTGATAAGGACCCAGTTTTCCCGGAACCCATTTTTCCGTCCCCCTCCACAAAGAAGTTCTACCCCTCAACCCGAAATCCGCGGCAACGCCGCTACACACACCGCCATGGAGCATCGCATGGTGCGCCATTCCTGTGCTACCCGATGATTTGTAAAGACATGCCTTTATGTCTATTATTGTGAGCACCATACATGCTGGTCAAGAAACAGCACTGATGGCCCACCGTCATCGGACGGGATCAGGCGTGCCGGCCGTGCAAAGAGACGTCATACAGGACTGCTTCATTAGCATGATCAGCACATAACACCTGTGAGGCCAGTGACTCTGGCCATGATAAGATGCAGGACAACAGGGCGCCCTCGGTGTACTACTGGCCAGCGTTTCGCATCGGTATCTTCCTCTTCAGTCTGTTCACAGGTGACCTCTCCTCTCAGTTGCTGGGCTGCCGAGTGTTAGTACACTGACACTGACAACTTCAGCACTGATACACTGGCGACAGCCAGCTGCTCGAGCACTCGGCGCTCAGCCCTCCAAATCTAGAACCGCGAAAAACGTGTGTGAGCTTATTGGGCATCACATTCCCTGCACGATCCCTGATCGTGGAAAATACCTCTCCAAATAATTCGGCTCCACGCAAATAAATGGCACCGTATATCATGATAAATGCGGCATAGAAGACTGTGCGCTCTAACCAAATAGTTCATATATTGTCCAAACAACAACACTCTTAGGCGTCTGACTATGCATCTACAAGCAATCGCGTACAGACGCAAGCAAACACATATAGACACAAGCAAACGCATGTAGACCCAACATAATCAAGCCTAAAATGCCAAATGCCCAACAGTCATCGCACGTTCTACACAGAGACGGAGACCCATCGCTCCTGAAGCAATATACTTTTGCAAATAGCACCTTAAATTTATCATGAAACAAATGTACGTGAAGCCCTCAATCTGTATGGAGGGACACCTTTAGAGCGTAAAGCACCGGGGAAATCGGTGTTTTGTGTGTCGCCAATTATATATATGCGTATATATATATGCGTGGCATGTTTGTCCGACGCCTGTATCAAAACAGATGATGTCCCTAGGCATGAGGTCCGTGTTTAAAACAGCTGCTGGAAAACTTTGATTTTTTCAATGATGAGACTTAATTGACTGTGCCCAAAACGGCTCCTCCTGAGATTTTCTCATGCAGGACGAAACGTAGAGAAGCTAACAAATGCCAGGTCATGTGACATAACAATGTATGTCTTAATTTATCATAAGCTTTGGTACATTTCAGCAGGGGGAAGAGCAAAAAGTCGAGATGTAGTCATGAGTTGAAAGACCTGACGTTGATTTAACGGCTTTAAATGTACCAGGAAGTGCTGAGTTAGCGACGTTGTTGTGCTAAGGAACGATTACATTAAAGTTACTGAATATATTGGGCTGTTCTCATCCTCAAAAGTGAAGGAAAAACCAGAAGCTGAAGACTTTTGGTGTCTTATATCAGGTTAACGTTTCATGAGACTGATCATATAAACACACATACATGTGCATATATATATATATATATATATATATGTGTGTGTGTGTGTGTGTGTGTGTGTGTGTGTGTGTGTGTGTGTGTGTGTGTGTGTGTGTGTGTGTGTGTGTGTGTGTGTGTGTGTGTGTGTGTGTGTGTGTGTGTGTGTGTGTGTGTGTGTGTGGTGTGTGTGTGTGTGTGTGTGTGTGTGTGTGTGTGTGTGTGTGTGTGTGTGTGTGTGTGTGTGTGTGGTGTGGTGTGTGTGTGTGTGTGTGGTGTGTGTGTGTGTGTGTGTGTGTGTGTGTGTGTGTGTGTTAACGGAAATATCATGTGCTGTAGACATTAAAAAACATGGTTGCACTAAATCACCAACATTCGGTAACTGAGTAAACTTTCATGATTCTCCCAAGCACATAACCAAGGCTGCAGCATGTTTTGTTATGTGCGCTATTTCACACAAGCCACAAATGCGTTTAAAATTGTAACAGCACAGCTAACGAGTGTGACCAGTTTCTGAAGTCCACCACTGTTGCATGCTCTTGTACTGGACGCATTCACCTCGGTTCCGATCGCTCCAGATGACGTCTCAGCCCGGATACTTCCTGGGTCGATTTAGTGCCGGGGTGCTGTTATTGGGTCCGCAACTCTGCTTTCTGTCACGCCGTTGAGCTTGGCTGGTAGATATGGCCTTTGCCCCGACCAGTAGCCCGAAAGAGGCCATGAGGAAAGCCAGCATAGTGGTCATCCAGGGGAAGCCGTAGATGTCCACAAGAATACCCCCTGAGAGAGGTCCGACAGCTAGGCCAATCAAAAATGCCATTTGATATGCGCTGGAGACGAATGACCGTGTAGACAAGTTGTCTTCGAGGCCAATCTCGATGCTCGAATCAAGCATGGTCTTAAAACAGGGAGTCAAGGCACCGCCAGAAAACGCGTGTGCAATGGCCATACCCAGACCGGTTAGCCACCAAACTGGTTTCAAACCTAGCAGGGGAGATGGCGACAGCAGTAGAATACCAGCGCTGGAGACAATGAGACATGGCGACATAATTTTATAGCGATTTTGCTGACGGTCAGCTAGCCATCCCGAAAAAAGGTTCATGATGGAGCAACAAGAGGTGCTAACCAGATAGTAGAAGCCAACTTGCGATGGTGGTACGCCAAGGACGTCATTGGCGTAAGGAGAGAAGGCTGCCGCTACGGTGCTTACATATAATGCGTACGCGAACACGGTCACCATGCAGGCCCAGTTGCCGGTCGACTTGGCAAAAAGACGTAGAGTCTTCGAGAAGTTCGTGCTAGATCCGTTGGCTGCTTGCTGGATGGTCGGCATGAGGCGCAGGTTGAGAGCCGCCATCAGCAGCATGATGACGCCAAGCGTGTAGAAGGGTGTGCCGAAGCCACCGAGGGCGAACAAGCCGCCCCAGATCGCCGGCGTCAACGCTAGGCCGATTGTCAGAGATGAGATCATCAGCGCCACGACCCTGTTCACTCTGCTGGGGAACTGGCTGCCAGCGATGGTGAAGCCGCAGATGGTAATAGCTTCCGAGCCAATGGCTTCCACCAGCCTCACCAAGTAGCAAGCCGCCACGAACGTAGAAGTGTCTGCGATGTAATTGAGCGTGCCGAAGACGATGGTAGTAAGGCCGGCAGTAACCAGGCCAAAATTGTACAGCCGGTTAAGGCCAACCAAAGGCACCAAATGACCAATAAACGGATTCGTGACCATCCTCGCTACCGAGAAACAGCTGAATAGACCACTGATGACAGTTTGTGAGACGCCTCTCGAAGCGGCCTCAACGGGAAAGAACGGGATCATGACGGCTATCAGAGAGCCGTTCAACATCCTCACCACCGCCAGGCTGGCCAACAGTTTCTTCTGAACCGACGTCATGCCAGATTTCTGCGTCGCATGCTGCTCTCCCTCGACGCGGTGCTCGCCATCCGAAGGCCCGCTTCCGTTGCTTGGGAGCTGGGCGGACTGGTGCTCAGGATCGGTGTACAATTCGAACCTCCTCTTGCCCTTCTCCTTTGACAACAGCCTTTCGGACTCCATGCTGGCCAACCTTCCGGCAAATAAGCCGTTTAGCCTGGCGTCGCCCTCGCCGTCGCCTGCAAGTTAAGCAGCACTGCACGTGACCGACCAGGCGTCCAGCTGCCCCGCCTGCCGACTGGCGGCCGCTCTGTGGTGGTCCCTGGGGTGACGCACGTGTTGAACATGACCTCGCCAGCCCGTTAAATTCGCGCACGCGGGCAGAAGATCGCGCCGAGCTCAGCCTGCAGCTAATCGCACCGGATGCCGGTCGCGCGGAGCACCAGAGCTCGGTAAACATCGGGCCGCGCCCCTGAAGTGCTGAGCGGCAGCCTCTGAGATAGGACGCTCGACCTGCGGGCGCTTTGGTCGTGGTCCGCCTCATTAGGGGTGAGTCTCGCGTCGCGAACGACCAGATGTCGGGCAGAGCAGGTATCGCGTAAGAGCATACAATTGCATCCGGTTCTGTGAACGTGGCAGCTGCACGTGCTCACTCCTCATCACTCGCATGCCTTTGTGTGTGTGTGTGTTCTTCGCGTGATTTCACGGCGTTCCTTTTTCGAGACGTTCTAAATTTTGACTGTTTTGCAGGACGTCGTATTATGCTGGATTATATGACGTCGCCGTGCCTTCGTGTGTCACGAAGGGTGCATCACTGTGCTTGTGTGCGGTTCACCATAAGCGGCGTAGTGCTGCTGTTGACCGGTCGGTCGGGGCACATTACGGTAGTTTAGAGGGAACTGGCCGTGGTCCGGCCTGGTCTCCTGACGCGCGCTCCTGGTCTCCTGACGCGCGCTCCTGGTCGCTCAAATCGCGCCACGACCAGGGCCGGCTGGAGCGTAGCAATGTTTGGGGGGTGGGAGGATGTACTGGGTGGGAAAGCGACGGACCCAGCTGGTCAGCTGAGAAGGGGCCAAAATAGGAGGGAGAGTGAAATCATCTGGGCCTTTGGTCCGCCCGTGCCCTGTGCAGAGGCCTGACTGCTTGGGGGTCTCTCTTTTCCATTCAATGACGGCTCTCCTCTTGAATCAAGAGGCTTGTTAAGATTGCATCATTAAATGTCAGTGGACTCCGATCCAATGGGCACACGAGCAAGCAAATACAGTTGTTTTTTTTTTGCTGATTTAAAAAACGGAGATTAGATATAGTGTTTATGCAGGAGACACATTCAGACATCACAACTGAAAATATGTGGCTGAGCGAATGGGAAGGACGGGGTGTTTTTCTCACGACGACAACAGGAGCGGAGGGGTCGCCATCCTTATCAAACCGGACATGAAAATTTTCATCCAAACAATCGTAAAGTGTCCATCAGGTCATCTTGTTAGTCTCGTTGTCGACATCACCAGCAACACAGTTACGTTAGTAAACACATAAGGTCCGAATGCAGACAGCCCGGGTCACTTTCGCACCTTACTTGACAAGTGCGAAGAAGTGCGAGCTGGTGACATCATATAGGGCGGGCATTTCAACTTCTGCTTAGACGTGGAGATCGATGGGTTTACAGCCGCAGCCGGGTGTCACAACAACGACAAATCAAAACAGACCGTACAAAGATTCATGCCAGTCAGCTTTCTAATAGACATTTGGAGGTCATTGAACCCTGAAGTTCGTGTGTACACATATGAATCGAGAAACCCGCTGAGTAAACCTAGGATTGATTTCCTTCTGATTGGTGACAACTTTCTTTACCAGGCTGAAGCCCCTATAGCAGAAATTGTGGACGGATTTCTGTCCGATAATAGCGCGGTCGTTGTCGAGCTGAGCATCCACAAAACTTGACTGGGCAAATCACGTTGGAAGTTTAATAATTCGTTGTTGCTCGACGATGTTTGCCTGCAGTCGGCCAGGCCGAAAATGGCTGAAATTAGCTGAGATAATTCGACAGGAATATCAACGTGTTTGCTCTTGCAGACAGCATTTCACGTAATCCTGGGGTGGATCATGCAATATTCGTCCCGCAAAAAGAAAGAGAAGGAGAAGCGGTCAAAGGATTTAGAGAATGCTATAAGTACGTTCCAAAGGTCTAACTTATGCACACCAGTCGATTCCGACGCAAGTCCAAAGCTTGCTAGTGCTAAAAAAGAAAGAGGCAACATTCTAAGAAGCATAATTTGTCGGGGTGTGCTACGTTGTCAGGGTCGGTGCCGACACTTTGCGGAGCGAGGTACTGTTTACTTTTACGGGCTGAACAAACGCCTCCACGGGCCTGGACAAACAATGTTTAGGTGAATGATACTGAACCATACTAAAGCCGGGGCATACCACATAATCCACTTTGGATATATTAGAAGAATTCCGCCCCTATTTTGAAACACTATACAAGCGATCGGCATCCAACGCTTCGAGCGAATTCATTTCATGTATCCATGGCATGACAAAGGCGGAAGCAGAGGAGCTGGAAGGGTCTCTTACAGAGCAAGAACTCCTTGCAACTCTGGCGTCCATGGAAATCTCGACTAGTCCTGGTCCGGACGGTTACACGGTATTTTTTTTGCAATGTTTTTTGGCAGGAACTGGGCACAATGGTCTGTGCGGTGTTAGAGAAATACATGAGTATGCCCACATTCCACCAGAACTGCAGAAGAGCGTGACAGTTCTCGTCCCGAAGGAAGGCAAAACTAAGGTGCTGATGGAATCGTTACGACCTATAAGCCTCCTCGACGTGGTCTTTAACATTTTGACAAAAACACTAGTCAGGTGCATTGGGAAAGTGTTTCGTGGACTTATCAACGAAGACCACGCGGGATTCATAAAAGCTAGATGAATCGGAGAAAATGTCCAAACCGTGCTGGAATTACTGAAAACCGCACAGGAAACCTAGATTCCGGTACTTTTTTGCGACTGGCAAAAAGCATATCGCTCTGTGGCTTGGGGATGCTTAAAAGCGGTTGTTGAACAATTTGGTTTTGGTGCATTCATGCGTAAACGGATCGATATAATTTATTGGGAAGATCCCTCCTCTAGCGCAGCGCAATTATAAATTAATGATGAGATGTCAAAACCGTGTCAAATTATGAGAGGCCTGGGACAGGAAATGCCCTTTAAGTTGTAGCCTGTCCCTGTTGTGCATAGAACCTAAGCTGGAACAAATCCGCAATAAAGTCCGGATTCGAACCTCGACCTTCGGGGAACAGAAATTAAAATATCTGCTTACGCGAACGACACATTGATGGTGATTAATGGCCGAGCAGAACCGCCGAGAGAGTCCATTAGCCTGTTAACTAATTTTCACAGCGTGTCTGGCCTAAAATTAAATGCACAAAAATGCGAGTCATGTGGATTGGAAGCAACCGGCGTACTCGTATGGCATATGTCCAGATCTAGGCCTTGCGTGGGAATTCGGTTCAGTGGAGTATCTGGGTCTTAAAATTGACTCGAAGAGTGAACGATTGGCCGTAATAAACTAAGATGCCAAAATAGACCACCTGAGGGATAAACTCAACCCCTCTCTCTCTCTGGCTTTTCGCGGGCTCATACCGTACAGAAAGGCTCACGTCTTGAAGTCTGAGGTACTGGCGCAGATTATTTACGTTATGTCAGTTTTCGAAAAGCCAACATGGCAGCAAATAAAACAAATCAAATCGTTGATGTTTCATTTTGTCTGCGTCAAAGCAAATAAGATAAAACGATCTAAAGTTAAAAACGCTTGGCAGCACAGAGGGCTTCAGTTCAGACTTGAGCGTTCAGGGCGGACAGCAGAACATGGCGTGGGTAAGAAAAGTGCTCGACACGGAATGTAGAAGCAAGTGGAAGGCTATAGTGCGAACAAAATTATTTGTCCATAACGATGTCATAATCTTTCACTGCGAAGGGTACCTTTCCATGATGCGTGAGCTGCACAAAGACAACTTTTGGTTTGAGGTGGTAGCCGCCTGGTACAAAATAAGCCACGTAGAGAAACCATCGGGTAGCGAGGTATTGTCCAAGCCGCTTTGATCCAATAAACATATGCACCTCGAAGGTAACAATAATGTTCAAAAACAGACCCTGATCGGACACGGTGTCGTAACGGTGGCTGACTTGTACGACCTTGAGGGACGAAGGGTTAAAAAAGGTATTGAACTACGATGCCAATATAACTTAGAAAGCTTTCTTCCATGGCATGCACTGCTGTCAAGGCTGCCCGGAGAATGAAAAGCAAAGCTCCTGCGAGACAGACAGCAAAGATCAAAGCTGCCGGTTTGTTTTGAGCAGATTATTAAGACACTCAGAAGCGCAAAGTGGTCTTCGGTATCCTGCTAAAACGGACTAAGTGGACTTATCCTGAGAAGGCGCAGAGAAAGTGAGGAAGAGAGCAAAATCTCCCAGAGGAGTTTAACTGGAGCCAAATGTTTTCATTCCTATACAAAAACACATAGTATTTTGCACCGCATGCTGCCAACGAACAGACGCCTTGCTTTGTACGGAAACACGGCTCAGACGCATGTGAGGAATGTCCAGAACGTTGCGAGACCTTTTCACACATATGTTGGCGCTGTCCTGAGGCTAGAAGGTTTTTGGTTGACCTACAGCGCGCCTTGCAAATTCAACTTACCACGCAGTCCGTGATCCTGGGTCACCACGAGGGTAATCACTCCCTGCACTCCGGAGCGGTGTTTGTGAGCATTATTTTAGGCAAATCATACATATGGCTTGGTGGGAGCTCTGGCTCTCGCACAGACCTGCAGTGCTTTGTTAAGTCCGCACTACACAGAGTTACATCAGAGTTGAAAAAATACATATCTACCGTCACAAACGAGATGAACATATTTTGCGACAAGTGGACTCGCTTGACTGAGCTGAACAGTGAGAGGCCGCCTTAAACTGTCCAGCGTCTCATGAGGCGCACGGCATGACAACGGACCGGCTGACGCTATTTCACTCGCATTGGCCGTCAAATGCCCCTGGACATCTTGGTGACGAAATTATCTGCTTCTTGTCGGCTCGTGGGGAAGCAGAGTAGCTGACCGTCCGTGGGGAATGGGAGGGTAGGAGAGTAGGCTGGGAGTTAGGGTGTGGTGTGTGTGGGAGAGGGGTGCATGAAAGGAGATGGGACGTCAGTTGGATTAAATGTGCTGCTATTGTGGTGTTAGTTTGATGTTAATCGTGTTGTAGTCGGATGTGACGCGTTATATTGGCTGTCCATGGGCGGTAAATGTGCCGAAGTTGAATGCTTGTCCGCATGGCTAAAACTAAAATATAATAAACTTCGAAAAAGAAAAACTCGCGCCGGATGCGGGACCTCGTTCGTCTCGAGATGCGCACCCGTTGGCACGATGTCTCACTGGTGTGATGTGCTGACGATATGTCATAGCCTGCCCCGGTAGAGGGAGTAAGTTGATCGTTATTTGCTCCTTGCTTACTCTTACTCTCTTTTGATAATAGCGCAGCTATCTACTGTTTATTCGCAGCTAAGAACAGATAGCGCAGTCTTCAGCTATGTCGGTAGCGAACAGCAATGAAATAGCAATTATGTTATGCGCGTGCACTGTGCGTTACGATTTCTATGAACACAACACCGGATTTGAAAACCAAGTTTAGGCACCTTGGGCATTTCCGATCCATATCAGTCTATGAAACTAATTGATTCCTACCTGGGAAGCATGCGGCCTCAAGACTGCTACCTCTGACTCGTTTGCATGAAAGTTGTAAAAGAAAAGAGTAAATAGGTATAATCATATAAAAAATCCTCTTAGGTTTCATCCTCTTGGAAAAATCCTCTTAAAGTCCCCTTAGGCTTCAGTACGTGCTGTTTCTTAGAGCTCAATTCTGGCACCTTAGACTGAAATGTAGCACAAAGCAGCTGTGCGTAACAGACTAAATGCAGATGCAAGCCATGGCAGCAGGTATGTCAGAGGGGTGGAGTCATTGATAACAGGCCCATTTGTTCAACAGTGTGGTTGTGAAGCTTGACCGGAGTCGAAGGGAGCTGAAGAGTCTGCCATACAGTCGGTTCTGTTCGCGTATCAGGCGAATGAGTGATAAGTATTCGTTGAAGTCAGCAAAGTCATCAAAGTTTTAAGGTTTTCAACCAAACCTTGGATAAATTCGATATACTTCTGGGGTCCGCGCCTACGCAGTGTTGCTTGACGCGTGAGCCCTGACGTCACCATGCCATCGGCCAACTCCGAGGCAACGGTAGAATTTGTGGCGAAAGCGTATCTTGCCGCAACGCCTGGCACTACTACTCTTCTCGTGAAGGTAAGGCGCTCTAACGTCACCTGACCTTAACCGCACCGGCTGCTACTGGCCGCAGTCCATGCCAGCCAAGACCAAATACAGCTTTGTATAGTGTGACTTAGGTCACATCGTTTCGTCTTAGGTGTCCCAAAATCGCTCTAACATTTCAAAAACAGCAAACAAACAAAGCCGCGCGTCTCATCGTCAAATACTATGTTTGCCCGTTCGCTAGCTTGTTGTTGTCGTGCTCTGCGCTCCGCTGCTAGTTCGCCATATTTTCCCGGAAACAATCACAACGGGTTCGTCATCTCCCCCCCAACCTCCCCCCCCCCCCCATACGCCCGATGTCCATCTGGAAACAATCACAAATGCCGTCAGCCGCTCGACTGGACCCAAGCGGTCGGCTGCGCGCGCAGTTTGGGTCAGGCCATCAGTTAGGTCTTCCAGGGATCGGCCACTTGCAAGGTTGGACACATGACACACACATGACACGACACATGACACACGCACACACACAACACATACACATACACACACACACACACACACCACACACACACACACACACACCACACACACACACACACACACACACACACACACACACACACACACACACACACACACACACACACACACACACACACACACACACACATGACATGATTTAATGTCAAAAATTGTGTTTAGCTGGTGGGACGACATACTGGTTTTGATCAAACCACTAGGGCCTGGGGTCATCTTCCCAAATTTTCCCCCAAATGGGATTTTCCCCTCCACCCATTGTTTACGGCGAATGCACGTTGTTTACGTTTCAACATTCATTAATGTCATTTTTAGGGCCACGCTTTCCACCAGATTTCAGTTTGGCCCCTCCATCCTGCTTTATCCCCCAGATTTAGAGGCGTGGTCACACTCTTGTATATATCGACGTTTGTTTGCAATGACTTTGGATGTCCCGTCCCCTTTCCCAACTCGCATACTGATAAGCCAGCACTGGAGCAGCGCACAATGCCCGCTCCTCTCCCTGCAACCCGCAGACGGATAACAACAGCCAATCGCAGAAAATAACATTCAGCCATATCTGTTGCCGGTGGTGCTACATTGTGCACCCGCCTCCTCGCACCTCTAAACATTGGGACGCATTGGGCCGGAGTGTGTCAGGCGTCGACAGCCCGAATGCCTCTTGACGGCGAATGAAGAGTCTCCAGAGTCAATGCGTTAGGCGCACAGAGTTTATTGTAAACGCAGAGTCATTTGGGTCACCGAGAACAGGCCCTCGGTGAGAACAGATTCATTTAGGTACCAAGTGGGCTTTGTCGGGTTTCGACTCCGTTGATATAAAACAAAAACAAATAATGGAAATAATATGATGATTTCCTGGAAGGTAGGAAGGTAGGATTGCTAAGGTAGGATGAAAAGTAGAACAAGATGATGCATGAGCTACTCAAAATGACCGTCAGATCTTTAAAAAGCAATAGCAGTTCGTGGCAAACCAATAAGCCAGCCCTTTTTTTCAATTTGCAGCCCGAAGCCGAACGAATCGGCTAGCTTACGTTCATCCGAGTGGCGGCGCTACTGTTGCCTTTGTTGACGGAAGCGGCAAATTTTAGGGTGGCTGAGGGCCCGCACCAAGCTGTTTTTAAAGAAAGATTTTCAGCACCACGGCTGTTTTTTCACTTGCCCCGTAAGAGTTGGGCTTAAGAGTTAAGGGCTTACTGGCTGACGTTAACAGTTTTAAAGTTTTACAGTGCAGCCTCAAACTGCCAGACGTTTGACAATGTTTGCCTGCGTTGAACTCTACGCTTTACACGCCAGACACGCTGCTGCAGTACAGGGTGTATTTTCATGAGCAGCTGGTGCCAAGCACGAACCACGCACTGTCCCCGAAGGCTTCCAGCATTGGCAAGACATCCATGAGGCATTGACTACGAAGGAGCTCGAATCAGTCCCGTTTCGTGGGGTCTGCAGTCTCGGTGACAGGTGAAGTAATACAAAATCAGGTCAGGTCCAACTGCACGCTGACACCAGACTAGCCTCGTATTTCGTTGGTCAACGAGGGACATCAGTAATGTCCGCGCGAAAGATAACTGCTTCGGCCGAACTGCCGCACACCTTTGAAGCAGGACAGTGGGCCCCTGGAGGTCATGCGGGGAAAAAACTACGCTTATGTAACCTGATGCTCTGCCTGACTTATTTCAGATTCCGAGAAGATAACCGTAAGCTGCAGTTTCGCAAGAATGCGATCATGCATATCCCATGATTTCGGCGACGTATCGCAAATAGCACTTCATGTCTAGCAAAACCACAATTCATAAGTCATCAGCTATCAACTGACACCCATGTAAAACAAGCCAAACGCAACATAGGAAACCGCTCCATACGTCAGTGCTTCAAAGCAAAAACAAAAGCATCACAGCTCCTGTGCCACATCACCTAAACAGCAAGCACCCACATATCAATAGGTCACGCCTACAGCTGATCTGACTCTCCACGCCCGTTCCTTCCAGCGCACAGCCGTGCCCCGCACACGCCCGCGCCTGCCACTATGTCCTCTCCTCCGGCTGCTGAGGCGCGCCAACGTCCATGCCCAGGAGACCGTACACCCGGCGCCAGATGGCCATCCGCTGGCGCTGGCCGTCGCGGAGGAGGTCCGTGTACCCGATCTCCGCCATGCCGAGGCGGGAACACATCCAGTCGGAAGAGTCTGTCAGCTGGTAGCCCTTGACCCGGTCGGTGATCTCGTGCTGCTGCCCTTGCAGCTCGCTGCCCTTAGCCTCGGAGGCCACGCAGCGCTGCTTGTAGTGCAGGCAGCGCGCCACGAGCGCCTCCGTGCGCGCCAGAAACGTCGCGATTGGCACGGCGGCGATCTGCTGGGCCAGGCGCTGCCGGAAGTGGCGGTACAGAATCATGTCCAGCTCCAGGAACTCCTCCAGCGCCGCCCGGTCGGCGCGACTCATCGGGGTTCGCAGCGCGTCGAAGCGCGCGTTCTTGGTGAGGTAGATGACGTCATCAGTCGACCAGCACATCAACTGACGCAGCAGCACCAGCGACTCGTCCATCATCTCGGCTATCATCACAAGGTCGAAGGCCTTGTCGAGGTCGTCGAGCATGGCCTGCACGAGGCGCGGTTCGCTGACGATGGCTGGGTCGTATCCGAGGTCAAAGGCCATCTGGCTGCCGCCGAAGCGCCTGTGGCGGGGGCGCGTAGGTCAACAAGGTTGGCGGTGGCAGGGTCACGTGGCGAGCAGCACGCATGTCGAGAGGGGCGATGACGGTCACAATGTGTAGACGAAACAAACAAAGAATATACAAGGAAAGAAATAATACTTAACCACTTGCATTATCTCCTACCGTAGATCACGTTGCATTGCGTTTGTAACAGAGGGTGTCCTTTTACTAAGCATAACGTCAGGGCCAGCGTTTCCTGTCATGATAACTGCGTCTCATCTGTTTTTGGAACGAGTAGTGCCGCAGCTGGGATTGGGCCAAGGCTCCACGGACCAAACATGGCAGCAGCATGGGCCTGCCGGTGCTATTCTAGTTCCCACCTCCTCGATGTGCTGCCAGGACAGGAAACAGGACCCTGCCGCTCAAAACAGCGAAAAAAAGAACGGAACCTCTTTTTACCTCCCTCCGCTTCAGATTCATTTCCGAGCAATTTTCTAATGCTGGGCTCAGGCTAGGGCTCATTGAAAACAAGAACAACCGGTGCTGGGCCTACCCCAATCCCGAACTGCCCTCGTGCCCTCTCACCCATGGCCGATCCTCGCCAGAGCCTGCTTCCTCTCCAGCGGCAGAGCGATGAATTGTCTCAGCGTCATATTCCAGTGTTGCGGAATCGCGAAGTGGTAGTAGTCGAAGGCCGACTCGAACTGTGCCACGGGATCGCGCAGGATCGTGACCCACGCAGCGTGATCTTGCATCACGCGGCGCGTCTCGGCCACGTGCAGCCGCGTGTGGTGCGCGAACACGTCAAACTTGCCAGAGCGGGGCCAAAGCCAATCCGGAATGAATAGCCTGTTGAACGGCGTCTGCAGGCACAGAGGTCATGGGTCAGTTGGGTCGCATGGGCCAATAAGGTCACAGGGCTAGATGGCCAGGTGGATCAAGGTGGTCCCAGGTCAGATAGGTCACAGGTGTCACGAGTCAGCCAGGAGTCACGGGTCAGATGGGTCACAGGGGTCACGGATCAGATGGGTCACAGAGATCCCAGGTTGGATTGGTCACAAGACCTAGGGTCAGTTGGGTCGCGTAGGTGACGGGCCATTTGACCTGTGATCCGTGATATCCGTGACGCTAGCACGTTCGTAGTAGCTATACAGCTTGTGCAAGTGACATCACCAGTGATGGAACTGTAACATAATGGCTCCTCGGGGTAACGACAACGAAGTGGTTAAGTCGTACATCTGGGAAACCAGAGGCAAGGAGTTCGATTCCCTGAGATGTTTGCCATTCCTGCTAGGGTGAGACGCGGGCAAGAGCACGTCGTGAAGCAAAAATCCCACATGATGGCTGCTCATGTCAACCACGTCGCTTGTTGAGATTTGCCCCCATGTCCGAGCCTGACTACCTTACTACTCGACTACTGGGTACTGGGTTCTTGACTACTGGGTATCCTCGTTTCTGCATACATTTGCTGTTAGCTGAAATTTTGTAAAATGCGCTTGTACTGAGCTCGTTTATTTCGGCTTATCAAATATATCAATGTGTGGTGTTCTCAGACCGTGGCAGAAGTCTTATGTTCCGAGGTCCACACCGCTACTTCGCACCGATACAATGATATACCGCCGTGACCGCGTCCCATGTGACTGGAGGGTGGTGTTTAACTCCGCCAATATTGACAACAAGTGGGCGACACTTCCTCAAACGTGCCAGCGGGGCCTGACCGACACGCCCTCTTTACCGGCATAGAGATCCGAAACAGATGAGTGCCACCTATCTCCGAAACACCACGTGCTCTCACCGCTGGCTGAGCCGCGGCTCGGAGATCGGACAGACTTGACTCAGACCCGTGTTACAGCCGAGGCTCAGAACCGTGTAACAGCCGGGCTCAGACCCGTGTCACGGCTGGGCGCAGACCTGTGCTACAGCTGGGGCACAGATCCGTGTCACAACCGGGCTCAGATCAATGTCACAACTGTGCTCAGGTCCGTGTTACAACCGGGGCTCAGACCCCTGTCACAGCTGGGGCTCAGATCCGTGTCGCAACTGGGCTCAGGTCCGTGTTACAACCGAGTATCAGACCCGTGTCACAGCTGGGGCTCAGACCCGTGTCACAGCCGGGGCTCAGACCCTTGTCATAGCTGGGGCTCAAATCCGTGTCACAACTGGGCTCATACCCGTGTTACAACCGGGTATCAGACCCGTGTCACAGCTCGGGCACAGATCCGTGTCACAACCGGGGCTCAGACCCGTGTCACAGCTGGGGCTCGGACCCGTGTCAGAGCCCGGCTCAGACCCGTGTCACAACCGAGGGTCAGAGCCGCGTCACGACGCAAGTGTTACCCACAGATCGGGATCTACGATCTGGCGCGTCACAAACATGGCATCGCCGATAAAGCTGATAAGCATAAAGCAGGCTCTGTGTGTGCCGCTGTGCCGCACATCATGCAGGCATCGTGCATCATAAACTACATAGCACGCATAACCACAGCGAGGTGTCGTCTGTAGGGCCGGGTGTTCTCAGAGCGGGATTGCCAATGCCGGGCAGAGATTACTTTACGAGGTTTTCGGGCGTCGCGACGCTCGACGCGGCTGGCCTCCGTAGCCTTGACATGCAGCCTTCAATATGGTGCTTCGAATGTTCGCAGCGTTCAAAGCACCGTGTTTATCTGAATGAGCCCTTCGTCTGCGTCGATGACGGGCTGTGCATAAGCCCTTTTGATGTGTATTTTAGCTGCAATGTTCACACATTTTTGTACATGGTACGCACCTAACGGACGCAGCACGAAGCGTCTGTACTATAGAAAAATACAACTGAAGTATTTATTTTGAGGTCCGGTTAAGCTCTCAACCCCCAAATTATGTGCAATCTCTATCCTTTCTGTCATTACAAGGCAGTTCAGAAGATTCTAAAAACCAAGTCTACCTCTAATTGTCTTTTAACCATCGCCTTCTTCTCAAACTAAATGGTTTCGGTGCCTCCAATCCATCGAAAATCTCTCTTCAAGATATCAGACCGAAATGTACCGGCCGTGAATGAGGTAAAACTTTCTTTCCTTAATTTATTGACTTAAGTAAACGCTCTGGTGGGGCTGACCACTCCAGATAAGTCACAGCATGACAGTTTGACAGCATCATCATCAGCTAGTCAGAACACTACCTCTCAGCATGTAGAGGGTCATGTTCACAAACTCATCAAGTATCCGACAGGTTTGCACCCTCCGACAGATTAACCGGGATCTTCCGCAGAGCTCCTCTCTGGTATGGCTGTCTGGCGAGGCGGGCGACATTCCGCAGTTCTCTGGCATGGCTGTCTGGCGAGGCGGGCGACATTCCGCAGTTCTCTGGCATGGTTGTCTGGCGAGGCGGACGACATCCGCAGTTCTCTGGCATCGCTGTCCGGCGAGGCGGACGACATTCTGCAGTCCTCTGGTATGGCACTCTGGCGAGGCAGACGACGCTTCACATCTGCTCGCTGGTGGAGCGGGTCGGCATCTGAAGCTATTCTGCTGACCGCAAGAGCGCCGGGCTCCAGAATGAATATTTCGCTGGCGTTGTCGATCGGCTCATTTTGGCAGACGTAGGCATTCGCGTGGATCTACACGGCTTGTGCCACCCCTTCGAAACGCGTGCAGGCAACTAGGATCAGGTGGTAGGAGATGGTGGTATGAGTCTCCAAGAGGCAGGAGACAGTGGGTAATCACATTCAGGGCGGTGCCGTGAGCCTGGATCAAAGCAATGCCAGGTCAGCTGAAGTGTGGTCCTCCATTCCGGAGATGCAAGCAGCCGTGGAGCAACTGCAAGTAAAATGTCAGCTGACAAGGTCAACGGACTTAGCTGCCGCAGTTTCAAACTTCTGCCTTATGCGGAGCGTTATGAGTCGGGTTATCTTACTCTGAGAATAGCCCATCTTCAGTATACTGGGGGATGCCGATTAAGCGACGTTTTCAGAGAAGCACTGGCTAAAGCTAAGAGCCGCGATCAGCGGCTGCAAAGAAGAACCCTTGTGAAGTGTGTGCTTGTGCGGCCAAAACAGTAGTTGCGCGGTTACGCCTTGCCCTGACCATACTCACTCCAGTGTACTGAGAGGAATGTGTGAGGTCCGTGAAAATGAAGTGATCCCCTACGCACACCTTTGATGACCTATGAGCTGTAGGGCATGCGATAACTTCGGCTGACAAACACGACGACCTGGCACTGCGTCGCGCGTCCATTTGATCCACGGCACAAACGGCAGAGTGTCGGGGTGATGCTGAGTCGAGGCATGACGCACGGGTGATTTACCATAGCCATGGTTTGCTGGCGCTATTTGTTATCCACTAGCCGTTATGGTGCACTACCATGCTGTGTTACTTGAGCCACAGGATAAACGTAAGACGCCGCTGTCCCAACTTGTGACGATATCATCTGTGTCGAGTTAACCCCTAACCGTGCACGCTCTCACACCGTCACTCGTCACCCGCCACCTGCACAGCAATCACTTCTGGTAGGTGAGGTAAATGTATTGCTTACAGTTGGAACACATCAAGAAACTGATCATCATGTTTCAAACACAAGACTACCTCGACACGGACCGAGCTAACGACTGGGCCAAAAAGCGCAACACATGGCACGGACTCCATTCCAATTATTCCTGTCTCTCAGCTGATCCATGTTCTGCATCTGGATGCTGGCATGTGCCTTAAACTTACTAAAACGGCCTTAACACCAACGAAAACCCTAACAAGGGTTGTGGCCAAAGCGAGCGCGATAATCATCCAAGGAAATCCGTACGTATCCACAACAATGCCCCCGAAAGGCGACCAACTGCTATTCCCAATGGCAAACTAATTTGGCCTCCAATAAATATGGGCTCGATCGTCATCCCTAGACCTGTAGCCCACCAGCCAGGGTCCAAGCCAAATGACGAAGAAGGAGCCACTAACAAGATTGCTAGGCTGGCGACAAGGAGGCATGGCGACATCACCTTGTAACGATTTTGCACAAGCTCAGCCAGCGATCCCCAGAAAAAGTTCATACCGGCATATAGCGTAGTGCTGACGATGTAGAAGAGACCAACCTGTGACGAGGAAACACCGAGCACATCATTGGCGTAAGGAACGAGGGTTGAATCCACTGTGCTCACATTTCCAGCATACACAAACACGATCATCATACACACCCAGTTGCCCGCCGATCCGGCCAGCAGCCGCAGAGACCCCAGCAAATGTGTCTGAGATCCACTGTTGGTCTGCTCGATGGTCGGCATCAGGCGCTGGTTGATGGCAGCCATCAGCAGCATGATGACGTCAAGCCTGTAGAAGGGGATGCCGAAGGCACCGAGGGCGAACAAGCCACCCCAAATGGCCGGCGTCAAGGCTAAGCCGATGGTCAGAGCTGAGTTCAGGAGCGCCACGATCCTGTTCACCTTGTCGCAGAATAGGCTGTCGACGACGGTAAAGCTACAGATGGTAATGGCTGCCGAACCCACCACCTCCAACAGCCTCACCAAGAAGCAGGCCGCCACAAAGGTAGATGTGTCCGCGATGTTGTTGAGCGTGCCAAAGACGATGGTGGCAAGACCGGAAGCTGCGACGTCAAAGTTGTAGAGCCAGTTGATTTCCAGCAATGGCGCCAGCCGCTCAGGGTCGCTTTCGCCAGCGCGAAGACGGTGAACAGGGAGCTGATGACTGAGACTTTGAGACTTTGAGACATGCCTCTCGACACGTCTTCTACAGGGAAGAACAAGATCATGAAGACTCCAGTGAGCCGTTCAGGATCCTCACCATCACCAGGCAGGCCAGCAATTTCTTCTGAGCAGCTGTCATACGATCGTCCCTTGCCACATGTTGATTAATACTGACTCCGTGGTTGCCGTCAGATGGCGCATCTGTGTCTTCTGCATGTTAGATTGACTCGTACTCGGATAGCTGTCAGATTCCGAGACCAATCTGGGGTTCGGTGTAAATAACATATCTGCCTCCATGTTGCCTAGCCTCTTACTTGCAGGCAGTTGTGTGATCCCGTTGCAAGCCATTGCACGATATAATCAGTGCAGAAGAGCGCTCAGCGCCGCACACACGGTGCCCGCACTGACGCTTCCTGATGACCTACCGTCAACCCTGGTAACATCACCGCTCCGCTCGACGACCCACGTCCGTCCGGCCGTCGTCCTCTCGCCCGTCTGCGGATTTGGTGAGATAGCCGCACTTTGTCCGATCCGCACTCGCGCGGCGTTTTCAGCGCCCGTAGCAGGATCCTGGAGACCCTGGTGCGCACGAGCCATTGGCGGACCTCGGACTACACAGGTGTGTCTCATTTGACCAATCGGGAAGCTGATCTGTGCGGTGAAGTTCATCACCGGAGCTGGGTGCACTCACGCCAAACGGGTGCTTCATAACCATGGCAGTCCGGAGTTTGCGCTGGTTTTTGAATGCTTGTGCTTAGGTAGCTTGCAGCACACAAATTTTCAATGCTGACCGCGTTTCGACTCACGAAACTTCACATGATGCGACAAAGATGAAGCCCCCGTTGCTGCTGAGCATTAATAGCTCGTTGTCCTGTCACGTCTCTGATCCAGCATTGTGGAAATCGCTTTGATGCCAATCAACAGCCCAACAGATGCCGTCACAAAAGCCAGCACGGTTATCATCCAAGGAAAACCGTAGGCATCCACCATAATGCCTCCGGAAATCGGTCCAATTGCTATGCCCATGGAAAACACCATTTGGTACACTCCGGCAACAAAGGATTGTGTACCCAAGCCGAATTCGAGCCCGTTCTGGACGCTACAGTCAAGCATGAGCTTAAAACATGGGGTTATGGCACCACCAATAAACATTTCTTCAATGGTCATACCCAGACCTGTTATCCACCAAGCCGGCTCTAAGCCCAATAACGGAGAAGGAGCCACCAACAAAATTCCAAAGCTCGCAACAAGGAGGCATGGTGACATCATCTTGTAACGGTTCCACATTTGCTCAGCCAGCCATCCCCAGAGAAAGTTAATGATGGCGTACATCGTGGTGCTAGCTAAGTAGAACAAACCTACCGTCGACGGCGAGACGCCGAGCACATCATTGGCGTATGGAGCGATGGCCGAACTAACGGTGCTCACGTCTGCAGAAAATATCAGTACGGTCGCCATGCAGATCCAGTTTCCGGTGGATCCAATAAACACCCGGAAATTCTTGAAGAAGCTCGTCTGCGGTCCACTGGTGATCTTCTGCACCGTCGGCATCACGTGCTGGTTGACGGCCGCCATCAGTAGCATGATGACGCCGAGCGTATAGAAGGGGGTGCCGAAGCCACCGAGCGCGAACAGGCCGCCCCAGATCGCCGGCGTCAACGCCAGCCCGATCGTTAGAGCAGAGCCCAGCAGCGCCACGACCCTGTTCACTTTACCGGGGAACTGGCTGCCAGCGATAGTGTAACCGCATACGGCAATGGCTGCTGAACCAGCCGCCTCCAGCAACCTCACTAAGAAACAGGCCGCCATGAAGGTAGATGTGTCCGCGATGTAGTTGAGCGTGCCAAAGACGACGGTAGAGACACCCGCAGCTGCTATGCCGAAGTTGTAGAGTCGAGTGATGCCGACAACGGGCGCCAACCGACCAATGAACGGGCTCATGATCATCTTTGCCACAGCGAAAACGCTGAAGAGGGAACTGATGACCGTCTGCGACACGCCTCTCGAAGCGGCCTCTACGGGGAAGAATGGGATCATGACAGCAATCAGCGAGCCGTTCAACATCCTCACGATCAGCAGGCTGGCCAACAGCTTCTTCTGAGCCGACGTCATGCCTGAGTTGTTTGCGGCACGCTGCTTGCCGCCTTCATTGGCAGGAGATCCATTGGTGTTATCTGGACTAGAAATGGATTCATAGCCGACATGCCCGTCCGATTCTGAACCTGAATCGGTCCTCCGCAACAGCAAGTTGTCGGTCTCCATGACACCTGCCTGGCGCTGACTACGTACTTCTATGCAGGTAAGCACTACCGACCAGCAGTACCGCCGGGCGGTTATCAGAGCCGCTTACAAGCAGCTTCCAAGGACACGTCGTAGGGTCCCACCGGCCTCCTCGCTTCTCAGCGCTGCCCAGTGCTAGTCCCAGCGCGACTGCACCCACATTTGTTGCACCAGACGCCGACTGCACCCACGTCTGCTGCACCAGGTGCTGAGTGCACCCACGTCTCCTGTGCCAAGCGCTGAGTGCATCCACGTCACCTGCACCATGCGCTGGCTGCGCCCACGTCTCCTGTGCCAAGCGCTGAGTGCATCCACGTCACCTGCACCATGCGCTGGCTGCGCCCACGTCTGCTACAGCAGGTGCTGACTGTTCCCACGTCTCCTGTGCCAAGTGCTGACTGTCCCCACGTCTGCTGCGCCAGGCGCTGACTGCACCCAGGTCTGGCTGACCCGCCCGCCGTCCGTCTGCCAGCAGAGCTGGCTGTGCACTGCCGCCGCCCGGCTCGCGCTCACCGTACGCATCCCCAGGCTTCACTTGGGCGCTGGCGAGTCAGTATTCATTACAGCCCGCCGGCCGGCCGGACTACCGCATGGCACGATATAAAACCGGTTTGTTTTTGCTCGGCAGTTGGCGGAGAGTGGCGGCTGCTACGCAAGCGGCGCAGTGTGCAGCCTGAGAATGATGCTTGACACGTGACTGTCGCGACACTCTGGTACGCTGCGCCTTTAATTCATGATGCTATTTTCCCTCTCTTTTAAGTGTTCATGCAATGGTTTCGCGTCCAGCAGATTGCAAAACGAATTTTTTGGATAGTCCTTAAAATCGTAAAAGCGAAAACAATGGCCGCCAACAGTTGTGCAGCAATTCCGATACGGGATCTTTTGAAAGCAATCATGTGAATATACTTCATATTATGTGTTACATTGACGGCGCTGCAAGGTGCACCTGTTTGTTGAGCTCACGAAGAATCGTGCCATATTGTGGCGAATATTCCAAAGAAACGCTGGGACGTTACTGAAACAAATTGGGCTAAAACACACAAACCCACGCACCAAAGCAAGCGCGGTGTTTCCTTGTTCACCGTCTGGTAGCCTGCAGTCCGAAGCGGGCATCATGGCTCAGGTATGGCTTTCACTTGTTTACCCAAAGAGGCACGTCTCCAGTTACTGTCATGGTGTGAGTGGGTGAAGTCTCACAAGGGCGTGTTTTTGTGTTGAAGGTATTCATGTTTCAGGAAAAAATATCTTTGAAAGCACGGTTGCTGCTGACTTGCCTTTGTTGGAAACAAGCCTTTTAAAGTTTGACTGTCCGCATCATTTTACACACGTGCGAAACGTATTACATCCCATTTTACAGCTACCCATGGCTGCGCACACATTTTAAAAAAACGTAGCTGAAAAAAATGAAACAACTCGAAGGCAGCACGCGACATTTTAAAGATGTATATGCAAGTCAACCACCCACGCATTGTCCCGCGGCCAAACATGCAAAGTAGACCAGTACCATGCGATGCCTGCCGACATGATGCAGTGCGATGTCTGCCGACATGACGCAGTGCGATGCATGCCGACACGATGCAGTGCGACGCCTGCCGACGTGATGCAGTGCGATGCCTGCCGACACGATGCAGTGCGACGCCTGCCGACATGATGCAGTGCGATGCCTGCCGACACGATGCAGTGCGAGCCTCACCGGTGATCCGACGTAGTTGCCCGTGCTTCCCAGACGAAGTTGAGCGAGTGCTTTCGCCGTAGCGCATCAGATTTTCTGCACAGTGGAGCTGG